GTATTATGCATTAAAAAAATTTAAATAGAGAATTTTATTTTTGACAGAATATCCTGTACTATAGTACAAGGTGTCTGGTAAATTTTGAAGCAACTGTATCAACACATGCATACATGTATCAGTTGAGACTTGGTAGAAAGTCATTGTGGAATTATACCATTAGAAGAATCATGTGATTAATACCGAACCACTGACTAGAATGGAATCTTGGAAAGTATAAGTCTTTCTATTAATTGCATATACTCTCGTTCTCTCCCTTTAGATGGTCAAGATATGAAGATAGGAGGATTGATCAGTACATGCAAATTACTAAAATCAGATCTTGTGCCACATCCACAAGACCACAAGACTACACAGTGACTATTGGGGTACTCATAAATTGTATTCTTTTTTTTCACATAAACTAAGTAATGTATGACTATATATAAAACAAAATTAATTGCTGCACTATAACTAGTGAAAAATGTTTAATGAGTCACATTTAGTATATTAAGTAATTCTAGTACATACATTTATTGTGGCATACGTTCATAAACATCATCAGGTGATGTTTGACATTCATCATAGACTCCTTCATTCTCTTCACTTTGTGTAGTCTTGTGAATTTCATATGGTTCACATACTTGCATTGCAATATCATCATCAGCTCTATTAAAGTAGTGAATAGCTTACAGTAATAAAATAAACTAACTTTGTTTGCTTATTAAGAGTAGACGGACTTTTCTTTCTATAAGAATAACAATAACAATTAAATATAAAAGAATGTAAACTATACCTTAAAAAGCAGTAGATATGAACAACAACACTGACAGTTAGTAGACCACACAATATACCCACTAACACACTAAGAGCAATGACACTGTCTGATGTAGCACAGCTAGATGACAATTGTACTGGTAGTTTTAGTGTCTCATTAGCAATAACTGTCCATTCTCCATATCCATTAACAGTGTAGGCATGTACACCAAAAATATAATGAGATATATCACTAAGACCAGTAATATTGATAAATGTATTAGTTGAATTACGTAGTTGTAACATTTCAGTATTAAAGTCATCATAATTTATCATCAAACAGTTATCATACTGTATGATATGATATCCTATCTCATATGTGATAATGGGATAGTCTGATGGAATATAACTAGGTACACTCCATGAAATAACAGCCCATGTAGTGCCCATGATACTGGATACTGAACCAACTGGACCAGTGACTAAATAAAGACACATTCTCACAGAACTGATATAGTATAATAAT